ACCTCATCAAATATGGTAAGCACAGACACTCAAACATGCGATGTACGAGAACCAATGAGGTCTGTTCTAGCATGTGACACAAGCATGAGCTTTTGCATTTACCATATGTGATTCACTTTATGCTTGTGTGTTTATGCTTAAATAAATCTGTTCATTATATAAAGCTATTGTTTCTCTTCACAAGACTTGGATGAAATTGTTCATATGGATTTGTTTTATGACACCTTTATAACTTCTTTGGATCTTTGAAGTTTTAGTTGCTTTTAACCAAAGTCTTAACAGGTTTGAAACAACATGAGGGTGAGTGAATTATGACAGAATTTTCATTTTTGGGTGAACTCTTGTAATGAGGGAACCACTGAAGGTGAGTTTAAGAACCCAAGTGCAGCATTTATTGAACATAGAAGTGAAATACAACAAACTGACTTGACTTGACATGAACTCGCCAACAGAGGATTGCAGGAAACAAAGCTAGACAAGAGACAATGGCAACAAGAGGCCTACTTATATCAAACTACAAGATCACATGACAAAAACCAACCAATGAGCAAACACAAGTAAAGAACAGGAACCAATGAATAAACAGAACACATGACCACATGACAAGACAATGAACCAATGAGAACAAGACACATTGACTAAAGGTACACATGAGGGCAAGGAAAAAACATGGCTATAGCAAAATTACAAAATAAAAGTCATGGAAACATAAACACAAAACAAAACCCAACGTGACAACTCTCTGTGATCTCTTTAAGGATTTCCTGTATACTTTTTTTAATTAAAAATCATGAAATGTCCAAAATAAGAGTCTGTTTGTTCTGTCTGTAGGCGCACAGTTCCGTATGGCATGTCCAGTTACCGCAGCCCTCAGCGATTGAGACGCTCCAGTGGGACAGTAGGGAAGGTGCTTCATCGCTGCACATGTGCAGACCACAGTGATGCCCAGTGCTACAAATTCTGTAATGCAAGGTACACAAAACGAATTAATAAGCAAAATCATCTGTATTTAGCTATTGAATTTATTTATTTGTTTCATTATCTACATAATTAAGCAGCAAAAATGAAGCTGAATGTAGCCAATAATCACTCGTTTAAATTGCAAGAAATCACAGGGGAAAATATTATAGTGTGTTGATAAATTCTCAAATTCTAAAGAAAGCTGTAGCTTTTTCTGAATTTCTGATTCAATCATTATGTGTGATCATATTTTATGGTTCTTTTTTGAATTTTAAAGAACACCGAATGTACCAGACAGAAGATTGATAGGATGTTCACCTGGGTAAAAACACCTCTGAGATCAGGACTGATGATCAGCATCAAACTGGGCACCTAACTAGGTGGTGTTGGATTTTTACAGACTTGGCTCAAAACCTACCCCACATTCCTCACCATGTTATATTTCCTGGAATGCCCTTGACTCATCTGGTCCACGGTAACAAGTGAATTCTTTAGTAAACTCTTTGCAGATTTCGGAAGCATATCTGGGACCCACGTCCTGGCTTCAAGGGTTATGTCCACTTGTTTCAACTTGTCTTTACGTCTAATATTCAGTGGATGTCCTTGAATTTCGGAGTCTTGGAAATAGACCTGTAAGCTACACTCTGCATTATCTCCACTTTGTGGGCTGATTTTCAGAGAGGGATTACTGGGTGAAGATGGAGATGAAGTGGGTCTTGAATTTTTGCATGCACTGAGGCTCCTACACTTTGGTTGATAGCAGAAAATTAAACATTGTTTAACATTGTTATTGTGGATGAACTGTTAGGAACTCCAAACTCCCGAGATAAAGATTGCCAGATACACCGCCACAATTTTCAGCATCCTGAAATCATCCTCTACATTTTTGCTCACTCCAGCAAAATGTATCCCCTCTCCACAACTAGATATGACATTTTATATTCCTAAGATGGTTTTGAGGTCAAATGTTATTATTCATGCATGAAATAATGGGTCCACTGAAACTAATACTGAAAGCTGAATATTACAGTAAATGGTCTATTACTCTAATACTACACAAAATACCATATATATATATAATTAAACAATGACCTGAGAGTATGACCTCCTGCAGGTAACAAAACATTTAAGAAACCTTACATTAAGCACCTTTGGATGGCTTATCAGCAGTAATAACTTGTTTTAGCTTCACTACTATTTAATTTTCACTGGTATTATTTGTATTTGTAAACGCTTTTGAATATTAAATGGTCATTTTACAATGTTATTAATGGCAAGCTTGATTTATCTTAACTTTTAATCTTGCGTTTTAACAGTTCTGTATCATCTAAGGTGTATCCTTAGCCATGTTTAGCTTTCAAACTACCTGCAAGTTGCTTTGGTTAGTTTTCCTTTAAAGGTGTAATTCATTGCTGGCAAGATAGGGTTTTAATAAAAGTTGGCTGCCTATACAGCACAAACACAGTTTTTTAAAACCAGTACTATAAGGCTAGAAAATGGGCTGTGAAGAAACAGGTAGGAAAACTAAAACACCCATAATGCACAGGGCTCAATTAGACTATTTGTGAGCAGGGAAACAAAAATGAGGAAGTACGATCTGTAGTTTTCAAAAGTCAACACCCCTATACATATTTTAAATAAACTGTCATTTTTAATCTGCTTTGTTACAAAACATAATATTATTTCACAGTACATTAATTTTATAGTACATTATGTTCATAAATGGTATTACTGTGAGCCGTCCTCAAACTAATAGGGTTTGCAGAAACATGAATGTCAATGAAAATATTCTGTAGGCGTAAATGTTGTAAAGTACAAGGAAGATACAGTTTATTTCTGTTTACTGACACAATGGTCTTTGTGTCATCTTTCAATGCCAGTCTAGTTTTTAAGGTATACATGATATGGCATGATATGATAACATAGCATATGACCCAGCCTGTATGTTTGGTTTATTTTCAGATGATAACATTTGTTGAATTTAACAGGTGTGTACAGTATTTGATGATCATTCATACTATATCATGTATTACATATAATTTTTTTTTATTTAAATATATATTTATTTTTATTTAATGCTGTTTCAGCACTGGGCTTGTTCAGATTTCTTGTTGACATTAACTGGCAATTTCACCTGCCACTCTTTAATGTTTGCCAGTTTTTAATAACTTTTGTACATAGTTTACATATAGGACTTTCTGATCTAAAACTTTCTCAGTATGTCCCCTTGCTTTTCTTGAAACTTGAGCTTTTGGCTTAGGCAGTAGAAATTGTGTGTTTTGCATTATGCATATTCTTAGCACAAACATCATATCAGAACCCCTCAGTGCGTCAGATATGGAAGCCCCAAAGACCTTTTTACAGCATCCTACAAAACCCGAAATGTTTCAACAACTATGACTGTTAGAGATGTTGGATGAAAAATTGTTTTGCCTGAGAAATTGCAATTATAGCAAAGAATGTGCTGATGGTATTCTGTTTTTTTAATGACATTCCATTGGTGAACAAAAACATCTGATTTTGTGAGATGTGGCATATAGTAGGATTGTGCATAATAACAATTCATCTTTGTTTTTGAATATTGTAAATCCAGCTTTGAATTTTGTCAGTCCAGTTGCTATTGAGGCTTTAATAAGTTAAAGGGGGTTAAATCCGGGTTAAATTAAAACATTGACAGCATATGTGACATGCATGTCCTTCAGTTTTTAAAAACAAAGACAAAACAATTGTTCAATAATGTGCTTGCAATAAACGTTTATAGCTGAACAATGCTTTAAACAACTTTAAACTTTAATTCAAATGTGGGTTTTATTGAAATTTGCTGTCACAGAGTCTGTTTTCTATTGTAGTTTATTTTATTCTTGTGATGTCAAAGCTGCATTTTCAGCATCATTGCTCCAGTCTTCAGTGTCACATGATCCTTCAGAAATCATTATAATATGTTAGAAATCATTCTAATATGCTGATTTGCTGCAAGAAACATTTATTATTATTATCAATGTTGAAAACAGTTTTGCTGTTCATATTTTTGGGTAAACATGTTCTTAGATCAGTAAGTTCAAAGTGGATGCAGTAATAGCATAACTGAGAAAACATTTCACACCTGTAGTCTTTTGCATACTCATCAACTATTAACATCTATGGTAATGTTTCACTTATAGGGACTTGACTAATATATTGATTAATTCAACAGAGCTCAATCACAGTCCTTTTGCAGTTGCTGTCCCAGCATGCCTCTTGATTTCATCCATGCACCGGTGCACAAGTGGATCGTTTTAAAAACAAGGGCAAAGTAATTGCTTTTAGGCATAAAAGGAATTTTTGATCCCCTTGTGGCAATCTTTCACAGACAATTAAGCATGCTGTCTTGATGATCGACAGCCTCTGCGGCGGGAGCAATCAAATTCATTCCATAAGCAGCTGACTGGAGTAATTTTATAACAAGTCACCGGTCCTCAGATGCACGGTGCAAGCTTTCACATGATAGATAATCTTTGTTTAATGAGACATTCTTAGTCAAATTGACACAATATACAATGGTAAGGTGTACTAGAAAGTAGGGATGCACCGATACCACTTTTTCCAGAACGATGTCAATACCGATACTTTTATTTTTGGTACTTGCCGATACCGAGTACCGATACACGTATTTTCATTGCATTTCTAATTTTTTTAAATAACCAAAAGAATATGTATAATGTTAGTTAGCTTAGATCATTTAGCAAATAGATATTTCCTTCAGTTTTTTCACACTTAATATATGCCATTGAAATGTATTAAAATGTACAAGCTTTTGTTACTTTCACTCTTAATTCTTTGCTCTATGGTACTTCATCTTTAATTTAATAGCACATTAGAGCTGCTCCATTGTAGCGGCTCAGTACCGTAAACACAAGGCGTTTCCCTGTAATAGTGTTTTCCTGTAATATTTCATGTTTATTATATTAATTACATACATGTACTTCATAGACACCCTTAATCTCTAATAAATCCATTCTGCTCTCTCTTGTTCTGTTGTCTGGACACAGCACTGTGCACACGCTGTGGTATCGGCTTTTGGTATCGGAGCGTTTTAACGAGTATGAGTACAGGAGAGCAGTATCGGACCCGATACCGATTCCAGTATCGGTATCGGTGCATCCCTACTAGAAAGACAGATTACATAGATCCATAATCTATATATACTGCAGTGTTAATGGTGTAAACAGTAAGTGTTTACTGTGAGAGTGCTGTTGACTGAGAAATTCTAGTGAGAGGTGACAGTAATGAATTACTGCTCCCTCTGGTCCTGATCAGAGATCGCTGTGTATTGCAGTCAAAGTAAAACAATGTTTGCAACCAGTTTACTTCAGAAGAAAGGTACAAAGCTGTCACTGAGGGGATATATATATATATATATATATATATATATATATTGTGGCCAATAATTCAGAACTCATTCATACAACATATACACAATATTATAATAAATAAATCTATTATCTATTATGGCCATGAATGTCATTTCCACAACATGTATATTCGTGGCCACGATTTATAAAATGGTTCCCTTGTTGTAGTAAATTGTGGCCATGTTGTACTAATTCATTCCCTCATTGTGATTTAACTAAAGCAAGGGAACAAATTATTAAACTGTGGCCATAGTTGAAATAAAACGAGGGAACGAATTAGCAAATAGTGGCCACGAATTAACAAGTCGTATGAACGTGTTCTTAATTCGTGGCCACAATAAAAATTAATAAAAATAAAAAATCTTACTGACCCCAAACTTTTGAACAATAAGTTGTGAGATGTGGAAACTCAATTCAAATTCACTCTCATGAATTGAAAGGGAGCCAGTTGTTCAATTATTTTAAAAAAATGCCCAACCATGATATTAAGAAAGCCAACAACCCAACATAAATATCTGTTTTCATTTTTTGGTCAGATTGGACCCCGTATTGTAAATCAAATGAGCATCTGTTAACTCTTAAATGTTAATGTATAATCACGGTCAATTCATGTCTGTGATGTCTTCATGTGTCTATTGACTGATTGATCTTTTAAAAGTCAGCTGTGCATTATTCTAAAAATGAAAGAATAGTTTGTATACTGTATAAAATTAATGTTCAACTTTCATGTTCATAAGGCCTGTTGAAAGTTCTGCTTATCAGTTCATTTTGGTTATTAGTTGGCAAGTGTTCGACAGCTGTCTCAAGGAGAGAGTCTGACTCCAAATGTAAAGATGTCCCTTCCAACCACAAAGGAGAGAGTCAAATTGCATTAAGTTTGGTTAGAGTGTTTTGGCCACACATACTAGTCAGGAGCCATGTCTCAGCGTTTGATAACACTGCAGTAGTAATGGAAAAAAATCAGTCACAGCCTTACATAGGAGCATTTGGAGGTTGATTCAATATCCCAAAGCTGAAAATTGTTTCTTTCTGTGCTCCAGAAGACACGCAGGTTGTTTTTCTCACATTTTCCCTGACCAGAGCACCAAAACCACAACCTCAAACCTGGACAGGACAGCATGAGAAGTTCATCCCTGCTGGGATCTTGTCCTGTTTGGGGCTGAGCTGTCAGGATAAAGACAGCACTGCATATCCTGGCCATAAAACTCTCGTCCCACTCAGAGACAATTACCCTCCATGCCAACATTCCTCTTTAAATCCAACAATGCTTAGCGAAGCTCTGCGCTGAGGACTCTGGACCACTGCCATAGAACAAGGAGGTTTTTCACAAGATGCTTTGTGTGTTTGCTTCACATAACTCCCAAGGAGAAATGAAGGAGGAAAAACGTACCAGACCAGCAGGGGCCATGGTTGGATTCGTACAGGTAATCCTTTCTCCATGTGGTTAAGGATTCTGCTGATCCACGGATGAAGTACATGACATCCCCTGAGCTTTACTTTGCTTTGAAGAGATGGCAGATTGGTTTTTATAGATAATTGTCCATCTGGAGAAAGAGCGTTTTGATGTAGGATTTTATGAGCTGAGAGGTTGAATCGGTTGAACAGCTGCAGTACATTATCAGCCTGCTGTGGTCAACATGTCCTGCCTTGGAGATACAGCAACTCGCTTAACAATCACATACACAGTCAGTCACTCACACAGTCAATGCTCACCATGGTCAAGCGGTGTTTGATCAAAAACGGCAAAACCAAAAACAAATAATGGGACTTGTGGATTTGAGGAGAAATTCTTAATTATTACACATTTGGTAAATGATATCACATGTTTTTATATATTTCTTTAATAAAATGTGTCTTCAGGTAAGATCAAATAATCCAGTTCTTGCATTATATTGGAAGATATATGGGAGTTACGATACTTAGACTGAGAAGACGAGAATTAAAGGGTTTTGGGTGAAAACAGGGAACTTGATTTCGTTTGTTTGTTTTTTACAAAACCATATCTTGAGGATAAAGATACCAGGGATATTAACTGAAATTAAACCATAAACACAATATGAAATGAAATAAAATAATGATCAAATAAAGATATAAAAAAAAACTATAATAGTATCTCAATTATATTAAAATAACACTGAAAGATCTTAACACTTTTCTGTATGAAATGGGATTATGGGTTACTAGCAGTGTTCTGGTATGAATCTTTGTTAGATTATTATTTTTTTTTTAATTCCTTAAAACCTTAGGATCTTGTGCAGGGATCAAGACCCACTAGGGGGCCTCAGCAAACTTTCAAGTTGCCTGAAAGAAGGCTTAAAATAATATAAAGTAAGTTATTATATTAAATATTTAAATATATTAACATCAAAAATGATCTTAATTAAATCCAGATTACTGTTAGGCTATAGAAAATGAGGGACCACTGACAGATGATCTGGTGCCTTTATTCTGCTTGACATGTGCGTCAGAAATGAGAAGAAAAAACAATCTTGTAGAAAAGTGTTGTCAGATTACATTGGTTTGGACACATTTTGTGTAATAAGATGCATGCTTCTGTGTATGAGAAGATGCATCTTTTGTTTCCTTGGGGATCACTTTATTTAAATAATGCTGCCACCTAGTGTACATCCATGCTGTTTCCACCAAGGAGCTCTAAAAGAGAAGAATTTCCACCATCGTAAATATTATTTCAGCCTTCATTCCACTGGCTTCTGCGTCTGTGTATTGTTCTTGTATGAGTCCATAACTTAACAGGAAATTTTAATATAATATAAAAATCCTCAGTATATTATATATGGTATCTGAGAGCAGAGTTTGTTTATTAATGGACTGATTGATTGATTAATTGCGTAGGATTGAAACATGCGGTTCATTGGAAAAAAATTATGTAAAAATTAATAAAAAAAACAAAAACTTTATTTAACATACTAAATAATATATACTGTGGGAAAATAATAATTATCTTGTTTGTCCCCTAAAAGCAAATTCAAGATAATATTTTTTTTACTATTGAACAATATCAATTTACAAACTCAAATGGGGAACAATAAATATATACACATATGTAAAAAACTAAAAATATATATACTGTATATCTCAACATACAATAACAACAAACATTCTTAAAACATTTCAGGGGGTTGCAAAAAAAAAACAGGTACAAAATCTTACCAGTCTTAAAAGGAAAGAGACTCATACATGGTTTTATACAATTCCCCATTCAAGATCATATGTGTGAATGTAGTGGAGACATCTGAGAGCACTACTGAATGCAGCGAAGCGATTGGTCTGCTCGGTGGTTGCTATGGCAACACATAGACTACAGTTCTAGTGTCACGCTGCTAATGTTCCGCTGGGATCAGATGGTTGGTTTCTGATATAAGGTAAGAGGGTGGCTTCTGAAAAAAAGATATATACAACTGAATTATATGATATTATGTGCTATATCTGAAACCTACGGTTGACTGCTGATATAATTATTACCTAACGGAAGCCATTGCTGCACATTCTTGAAAATTAGCTTTGCAGCACAAAGTTATGTGTGACTCTTCAGCTTTAATCAGGTGTGCTGTAACAAACTTGCCTTAAACAGCAGACAGCTGGACATAAAGGGGCCTACAGTTCACAGAGAAAAAAAGAAGGGTAAGTCTATTAAAGGGGTCATATGATGTGATTTCAAGTTTTGCTTTCTCTTTGGAGTGTTACAAGCTGATTGTGCATAGATAAGATCCCTGAAGTTCCAAAGACTAAAGTCTCAAAACCAAAGAGATATTCTTTATCAAAGTTAAGACTCTGCCACGCCCTCCTAAAACGGCTCGTTCTAACACGCCCCCACATATCTACCTCACTATGTGGCAGTATTAGCATAATGCGCCCAAATGTTCACGCAAAGAAAGAAGGTGTGGTTTCAGTAACCGCAGTTAGTGTTGAAGCAGCAATGTCAGGGAGACGCTGTGTGCTTCTAGGCGAAAGCAAAAGCACTTTATTTGGCCTTCCAGAAGTAGATGCATTTAGGAATCTTTAAGATTACTTGCAACAGAACAGCAATGCATTTTATGGACGACAGTTTCATGAACCTAGGAGAGGAGGTAATTCTGACTTTGCTATGACAATCTGGCGCTTCTGAATCAGCTACTGTTTTGTTATTAGTTTAAGTATCTGCTATTGACTGTTCAAATGCGGAGTTTTGCGCATCGTGTGTGTGTGTGTGCAAGAGAGAGAGCGAGAGCGAGAGAGCAGTGTGTGTGTGTGTGTGTGTGCATGCGCACGGAGCGAGAGAGAGACAGAGAGAGAAAGAGAGAGAGAGCGCGAGAGAGAGTGCGAGAGAGACAGAGAGAGAGAGAAAGAGAGAGAACAGAGACTGTGTTCACTGTGCTCACAGAAAGAGTCTACTATCACAACATTAGAGCTGCATATTTCCCCAAATTCCTACAAATTAAACCACATTTTATGGCATTATCAAATACAGAAAAATTAAGTGACATTTTAGGGGAAGATTCCAAAATGATCACAACCGCAGCAAGATATGTATCAGCCTGTCACAAACTAAGACTGTCAGCCAGTGGACAAAACTGAAGCAAGAGCATTTCTTACATGTACTGTTGTGCAATTTATTTATTATTATTTGTATTTATTTATTTTTTATTTTTTTTTAAACAATGTCTTTAATATTTTTCTTGTTTGTGGAAAAAAAAAGTACATTTACTTATTTACTTAATTATTTTACATATCTATTGTTGTTGTTTA